TGTTAAAGGAGAACGATGAGGTGAGTGCTTTTCACTCACCTCGTAGTTCTAGCCGACCTGTGACAATGAGACTGTCACAGGTCGGCTCAGTAGATCGGGAGGTGAGCGAACACATACCGGCGTTCGCTCACTTCTCGATCCTGTCACAGCTCTCTGCCGTGACAGGGGAGGGGCTGGATTCCCCGCTCCGATCCGCCAGCGCTGACTGGCGGATTGGACGGGGGAGGGTACAGCTGGCTCTGCCTCTACATAGGCAGAGCCAGCTGTCACTCACGCAGCTGGGCGGATCCAGACATAATTGTCGGGATCCGCTTCAGCTGTGGCATCTCAGTATACCGCGAGCTGTAGCTCGCGGTATACTGAGCCTAGGGTGACGGGAGGACGCTAGTTTGTGTCCTCCCTTTAACCTAAGGAGAACTAAGGGGAAAAGCCCTAATCCCATAGTTCTCTTTTAAGGCTTCTGACTGAAGCACTAGGGAGTTATTTTTACATGTTTAACGTTATAGCAAACAAAGCTTTATTTTTACATCTTATATCCGAGAATTAATCCCTCCCTTTTAGATTGTAAGCCCTCATGGGCAGGGCCTTCCTTACCATCTTGTCTTGAATTGTATTGTGATTGTAATGTCTTCCTTATATTGTAAAGTGCTGCGCAAACTGTTGGCGCTATATAAATCCTGTATAATAATAACTATCAAAATACATTTGACTGATGCACTCTGGGACCAGAAGGGGAGGAGAACAGTGCCTACAAATGACGTATTTTCAACAGGCTGCACCGTTGTATGTAAACAACTTTATTAAAACTGTTACATGTTAACAAAATACAACCTTACTCCAAAAAAAATAAATGTGTGTGTGTATGTGTATATATATATATATATACTTACATACATATACACACAGGGCCAGTGCAAGGATTTTTGCCTACACAGGCGAAGGAGCATTTTTGCACCGCCCCCCTCCCCATGTGCGCCCTTAGACGGTTGCCTATGCACCGCACTTGTAGTCAATTAACTCTGCCTGCCATCAATATTAATACATGTCTGTACCTCGGTACGGGCATGGATGGAAGTAGAGATTCACCGATACCATTTTTTCTAGACCGAGTACATCAACTATAGAGGACTACAAATACAGTTCCCACTCTCCCCCACATCCCCTCTGTTCCCACAACTCCCCTCTAGGAGAGCGGTGTGGGGGAGGAGACAGCCCGCGCTGTCACAGGAGGCTGAGCTCTCATCCTCACACCGCTCGCTCAGCCTTCTGTGACAGCCGTCAGGAAGGAGAGCGAGGTACAGGCAGTCGGTGATCAGTGATCGCTGAGTGTTTGTAGATAAGTGAGGACAGAGTATGGTTACTATATCCTCAATTATGAATGAATGGGAAGTGATCTACATCACCTCCTGTTCATTCATAGTTGTAGTTATAGTTAACATACCATGTCCTCATGTTATGAATGAACAGGGACACTCAGAGGATTCCTGGCCATTGATAACAGGGGCTGCAGAAAAAGAGATTGAGGACTTTGTGTCCTCAATCTCTTCTTCTATTTTAAAAAAGGGAAATATCTTTTTAGACCCCTAATATTTCCCCAAAGCTCCCAAAAGTAAAGTAAAAAATAAAAATATTCAATAATAATAAATAAAAATAAAATATTTAAAAACAAATTGGAAAAGGTTAGAAAAAAA